ACGCTCTTCTAAAAAGTCCTTCTCCAGTTTTCTTGTAGGCCTCCTTTAGGTAGTGGCTGGTCTCCCCTGAGCCTTCTCCAGGCTGAATAAGCCCAGCTATCTCAGCCTGTATCCACAGGAGAGATGCTCCAGCCCTTGGCTTGTCTTCATGGCCTCCTCTGGACTCGCTCAAGTGGGTCCATGTCCTTATGTTGAGGGCCCCAGAGCTGAATGCAGTATGCTGCTGAGTGCAGTATGTAGTACTTTGACATTTTACATTCTGGTCTCTGCTATTTTTTTTAATGCAATGCTTTTAAAGCATTAAATAGTATTTGTGTTTGTTTTGAATAAACATATTGTTTCTTCTTATATATATATGTTTTATAGTTATTTTGGCCAACTGCAGTTGTGCCAACTCTCAACTTACTTACTGTTCTGTTACTTACTGTTCTGACGCATTTGTGTAGTGGAATTGTTCCAGAGTGTTTAGAATCTGTAGAACAGCCACAGCTATTGTGCAGCTGGTTTTAGACGGTTGTTAATGTACATTGTAAGATGTAAATTATCTGAAGGCATCTGCAATTCATAAGGCTATTTTTTGGAGGAACCCAATATTCTTATTAGTGTTCTATTGCAATCTCTTGTTCACATAAGAAAGGAAATAACATCTTTAAAGTCACCCAATAGATTAGTGCCTATGATCAAAATTAAATACACCGCTGGAGTTCTGGTTTCACTAGGTCATTCTTATGCTAGTTACTGAACTGTTCAGCAATCTTCACTTGTATAAGCGTCTTGATTGAGAAACATGGGATTCAATCAGTCTGTTTATCTGTCTTGAATACTTGTGTTTCCTTCCCTCTTGCTGTACGGCCAGAGTTGGGGAATGCATACCTTTTCTGATACATAGAAATCATTATAACCATTCAAAAGAGATCAATTTTTATGAGGATGGGGAAATAAATTGAAAATGAAAAAAATCTTCCAGAATTCAGAGCTTGATACTCATGGTTTATTTCCTCCTCCTTTGTGATGAAATGGCTCTAACTGGGAGATGAGTTCTATCTGGAGGGCTTTCTTGGAGGCAAGGTTTTTACTTATCTGATACTTTTCCAAACCATTTGTCATTCTGCTTCTAACCATCTTTGCTTTTTCAAGTTGGGATGCCCTTGTCCTCTGTGTGTCATTGGCTTTTGTAAGTGACTTAATACTCATTGCATTATTCTGGACCACCTTTTCTATGTGTCTCAGCCTCTAGCCTTTTTGTTGTTGTTTTTAACTGAAACTACTGAGAAAACTATTGATGTGTCCCCGGGGAATCATTTTCTCTCAATTCTAAACCTGTTGGAGCTTATGAGACATTTAAAGACTGCTGCTGTTCTAGTTGATGGTTGAATTGAAGAACATAATGGGAAGATGAAAAAGTTCCTCCCAAAAATGCTGGGATACTATTTCCATGAGGTTTTCAGCTTGAAACAGGAATATAAAGGGGCAATGTGCAAATCAATATCCTTAAAATGCTGGTAGTTCAGTTCAAATTGTTGGCTTAATGGAGCACTGAAATGAAAGGAAAATAAAGCGGCCTGAGGAACCAGTCGGATTGATGCTCATATTGAAGTTTATATATTTTTTTCTGTTCTCTAGGGCTGCTTTGTTTTTAAACCAAGTCCCAAGAAGAGAAGGGTGTCTCAGAAAACAGGTCAGTGCATTTTGATATTTTTTTCTGTGTTTGAGAAGGATTAATCCTGGAACGTTCACCACATCTGATTGAGTTCTGTCATAGCTGCTTGAAGATTTTCATTGCTCCTTGATGTCGATATTGCTGAAAACTCATTTCTTCAGAGGGACCCCAGCAAATTGTTGGCTAGTGTAAATGTGTTTTTCATCTTCAGCAATAAAGATTGTACAGCTGTCTTTGTCTTTGCACTTTTTTTAAACAAGAGAACTCCTTTCCTTGCGACTGTAAATTGTTTACTGGCTAATTGTTTATCTGAGCCACCTTTAAGCTATGGGAGTTAGAAATGATATCCCATTCCTAAGTCTCATCATATTCTGGGTAGTTTGCCTAAGCTTCTTGAGAAAAGAAGAAAGAAAAGCCACTTGTGAAGATCCCATATCGGCTTCTGACTGCTAGTATTTGTTACATATATTTTCTTCAGCCTATCTGCGGTATATACAGGTTTCGTCATTTGAGGAAGACTGAGCAGAACTGACTCTTTTTGGAGCCACAAGTAATGCTGTTTAAATAGTTGCTCTTTGAGACTCAGGTAGGAAACTTACCTTTCTTATTCCCAGGTTAAACTTTTGGCATAACCAGAGCTGTCAAAAGGTGTGAGAACTTGTATTAAAAACGTGGAGGTGAAAGTCATAAGGCCAGATTTTTGTGGACATCACTACAGGCTCATTCATTACTCACTGTAACACCTGCTTTAAAATTAATCTCAAGTTTTTTTTCTCTGAGACTTGGCACATCTGTAGCTCAGGGAACGAGTGACAGGAAAATAGAATCCAGTCTGTCGTTCCAAGTCATTGCAAGATAAAACCAACAACCAAGACCTATGCGCTTAAACCGTATTGAAATTTTACCCATTACTGGATATTATCTTTTCACTTTTGCAGGATTAGTAATGCTTGGGTAAGCCCTGCTAAACGTGTTGTTAGCAAATGCCTTAAGATAGAAAAATACTTTTGACTGAACTGCCCTAAAAGACAGGCAGAGGTGAACTAGTTTGGCTGCTCACAGCAGCTGGTTAGAATGGTTTGATGTACATCATTAAAGGTTTGGAAGCCCAAACCTGTCAAGTGTGAGGTTTCAGTTGTGAAGCATCACAAGTTGATAGAGCTGTTGCATCCCACAGAAGGTCGTCTGTGCATTTATAGCTGGAGTTTTGGTAATAGAAATGTATTTGACAATATGCTAATATACCAATATGTCTTGGTATATTACCAGTAATTTGATTTCCTTCAACTAGAAAGCCTATGACCTGTGTAATCAGAGACGATTATGTATTTTAAGTGATTTTTTTTCATAGGGATACAAATGAGGTGTCAGGGGAGACAATTAAAATAGAGGGTAAGGAGTGCCTCTTGCGTGTCTTTTACAGAGCTGGTCAGGGTGGTTTTAATGCTTTGGGAGACTGAACGTGCCCATCAACTGGTTCTTTGCTAGAGATTAGTCTTGTGTTGCTGCTCTATTGAATGGCCACCAAATGGACAGTAATGGATAGCAAACTAAGTTTTTTTATATGCATATGCTTAGAAAAAGTAATAGTTATGTTTAATGTTGTCTTGTAGCAACAGTTAAGAGGCTATTTACTTGACCTTCAGTTTTTGCGTTCTTCCAGGTGGTATTAGTGAGGCGTTAAACCTACCCCAGGCCTGCTAAATGTATGCTGGGAGGAGAAGAATAGTTGCAAGCCTGTACCTTTTTTTTTTTTTTTTTAAGGGAAACGTAGACTGTGTGAATAGGGGAGGAAAAATGACTAGGAAAAGCTCACTCATGTATGCAAGTTTCTATTCAGTCTCTCATTTTACTCCCAGCTCTGTCTTTCCTTCTTGGTTGGAAGCTGGTGGAGAATTTATGTACTCACATCTGTGAGGCAGAACAGCACCTGGGAAGCCAGATGTATTTAGAAAATGCACCAAGACACTGTTTTACCATAAAGGATCTGATTTTCTTTTTCATAAAGAGTATGTACAGAAGTGAGAGGCAACCTCGAGGTGAGCCGGAAATGTAGGCCTAGGTTGTGCTTAGAAGTTTTGCTGGCATAGTTGTGTCAGTTAAATGTATTTTTAAAAAATAAATAAATCTGTATTTCATGTAACCTGGCAGTCCTTTCCCAGTATACCTTATTATTTTCAGGAAATTGGTGTTATCTGCATCTTCCCTGGGGAACAGAAAGGGTTTTCATGTACCTATTCTTGCAAGCTCTTATGATGCATATCTGACTGTAACAGGAAAAGAGGATTGAATATTTAATAGGTGAAAGAGACCCACAAAACTTTCTGAAGCAAGGGAAAGATTTTTTGAAAGTTTTATCTTAATAATAAAGGCTGTTTGCTCTGATGTAGCCTTCAGCTCATCTGGGACTTGAGATGGAAGCAGGTTTACCTTTTGCCTGCATATCTGGGCAACATATTCTATTTGTTCCCGTGCTTATTCTACCAGATAACAGCAGTTTTTTTAATTAATTGCTTAACAGAAAAGTTCTCTCCCTCAGATATATATGTATATTAAGATGTTCTTGTTTCAGTCAGGTGCTTCATTTTCTTCTCAACAAAAAATGTTTTGTTTCAGTAATGTCATTTTGCTTGCCTTTGCTTTCTAGCTATCCATTTTGGAGAAGGAAAAAATGATTCAGAGGATAGAGAATTGCGGTTTGATACTTGTCAGTCTTTATGGAATCAGATCAAATTGGAAACAGAGGTGAGTCTTACACCACATACTAAAGCAGTGTTTTGCATTTCTAACAATGCTGCTTGCTTCTTTGCTTCTGGAGATCTTTTTTTACACACTTAAAAGGGCAATTAGCTAAAGCAGTAGAAGGGCCAGAAGTACTGACTGAGACTGAATCCCTGTCCAGAATATAAAAGAGTAATAATAAATCCATCAATTACACATTACTTTTAGCCACAGAACTACATGCTTTTAATGTTTCAAGCTGCTGCTTCTAATCTTCTCTTCTTAATAGTCCTTTTTATTAATTCCTGGCATACTGCTGTTTTCTACCTTCAATTCAGTTACATGCTTGCCAACCCTCTCAGGATTTTAGGCTGCTCTTGAGCTCAGTGTTAAAGAGTTCATAGCAGCCTAGAATTCACAATGGATTTATATGACTACCACTGCATGGATGTCAAATGCTGAATGACACAGCTTCTAGTATAGTTTCTTGAATTAGTACCGACAGTGTCAGTGGGGTTGTCCAATGGGGATCAGAGTTAATTTCATACTGAACTGTGGCCTCCTAAGTGTTGTGTGTTAGATGGCATGCTGCTGTTGTTTCCTTATAGCCAGCTGGCATGCATTATGGTATGAATAGTTGCTTCCGTACAGCAGGGATTTCCTCCTCTCTTCAGTGTCAAGGATTCTGGGCAAGTATTCCATGTTCCTCTGCCCGCTCTTGCGCTCTAGACATTATGAGAAATTTTTTTTCCAGAGTTTGTTTTGGGATGTAAAGTAGAAGCCAGCTGGATGTAGCTTAAAATCTGGACTCTTGAGCTAAACTCACAAATTCCTTTAATTCTGTTCCTACTATTCCATGGTCCAGCTCACTTTGACTAGTTGGCACCCTTTTCAAACCGTAACTAGCCAGGCTGTGCAAAGCAGTGCACTAAACTGCAATGCTGCTTATAGAGAACAAACAGAAGTTTGTGGAGGTATATTTGATATCTTCCTGGCAACTGCTTCAGCTTGACAGGTTAGCTACCGGCATTGGCAGTAATGTTGACAGCTGCACCAGAAACTGCCTCGTCAACTACGAAGTGGACTACAGAGAAGATGGCGTCCTGTAGCTACTTCTGGAAGACCTTTTCTTGGATCTTTTTTCTTTGGCACAGTGTTGCCAAGGCTTTTGAGATAATACTTCTACACTGCCAACAGTGGCTGCAGGATTTTCAGGTTGGAGAAGTGTTGGGATTTCTTCCCTAGTGCTCTGCAAGGATTTTTTCTAGGGCAGCAGGCACAACCCATCATAGCGGATGCCTCCCTTAATCACTCAGAAGCACAGAGTCATTCCATCTGGAAAATCATTGTTCTTTCCTGTTCTAAATCTCTTACCCTTGTTTTCTCTGAGGCTGTTAGGAGTGTGCCAGATAATTTCTTCTGTTATTCCTCCAGATGGAAGACAGTTCATCCTACATTGACAAATTGATATGGGCTTTGCCTTAGAGTTTGATTTGCCCAAAGGCAGATTGCCTACTATACGTAGAATTTTCTTTATCCAGCTACTGGGGAATCTCTGATATTTTTTCTCCCAAGTTTTGAATTACCATCTTTTTATCCCACTGTTGGTGAACTTGGGGGTGATGATTGTTTTTATATCTAAAATTGCATGATAATTCAGGTTGAAAGTTTCTAGTCTGAACTTCTGCTCAAAGCGGCATCATCTGTGAGGTCAGATCAGGTAGGGGAGAGCTTTATCCAGTCGGGATTTTCTTTCTTATATACTTTCCAACCCTGGTGTAGTAAGCCTGATCTGTGGCAGAATACTTGGGAAGTGGATGGCTTGCTGGTTTGGACTTTTGTTCTAGGGGTTCTGGTAGTGTGCTGAGGGAGCTTAAAGGATATTCTCCGAAGTTTTTGCCAGGGTACTGTTACCTGACAGTTTGTTTTGCAGACCATGTGCTTGTGCTGGTGTTTTCCCAGTCTTTTGATATCTACTTGAGTTGTTGAAGAGTGAAGAGGATTTGACTTCCAGGCACTTTGTTGTGGAGCACTCTTGACCTTTGTATGTCCATCATAAACTGTGCTGTGATTGTAGCAGCACCATCTGTCGTCTGGTGGTGACATTCTTTCAGGCTTCTCACAACATGAAAAGTTGGCAAAAGCACTGCAGAAACTGTCCTTAATTTTTTGGAAGATGGATTTTGGACCTTTTCTGTTTCAATATTGCAAGGTATCTCAGTTTTTACCCTTGCTGTCACCGGTGGCCTTGCAAATGTTCTTATTATGATACATCTCATCAAACGCTTTCACAAACATTCCTTTCCTGTAAGGTGAGGAATTCCTCTTGACAGTCTACCAGGATCCAGGTTAGAAACAAAAAGCCTAAGTGCAGGGCTTATAATATGGTAATTTCAGCTTTGATGTGCAGATAGTGGTTTTCAGACCACACAATAGATAATCTTGACCAAACCTAATGTAGCAGCAAGAACTGAACTTTCAGTTCATATGACTTTACCAGAGTAAGCAGTGTCATGCAAGTAAATGAGCTGGTCCCTTGAGATGCAGAGCAGCCTGGCATACTTTCTGCAACATTACCAAAGTAGTGCTAGCAGCAAGTTTGTTTTGACAAGAAAAGACTGGTAGATTTTAAAAAAACTTAGTAAATGAGCAGCCTGAGTTCCATCTTCACAAGTGTGCATTGGAAGAAATAATGTATCATGTAACCATCCTAAGTAAGGATTCAGGTTCTTGTTTAGGACAGCTTAGTGAAAACATGTACAATAATGATCAGAACAAGCTCAAGGTCTGATGGCTTTTGAAGCAGCAGCTCAGCGGATTTTTATGGGAGGTGTGGTAATACAAGGAGGTGTTATGATGCTGTTATAAAGCTGAGGGTGTAAATTCTTCTTTTTAAAGTGCCATGTTACAGTTTCTTCTGAGTTGCCATAGAATTTACCATGTGGGAGCTCAGAGGTGCACAATCAACATCAGAAAGGCCAGAAGAATATTTTATAATAAGCAGAGGGTGGAAAGACTAAGATTACTTTGTGTACAGTTTTATCAGGAGAGCAACAGGAACTCCTCTGTATAATGGAAATGGAGTTCAAGTTTTTGAGCAGGCATCATATGCAGTCTCCTGGAGATGTCCCCTTAACTCTTTTGATAGCTGTCTCATCAATGCTGCTAGGAATGGCCTTTACCACTTAGTTTAAATTCAGGTTCACTGCTGCATGTGTCACTTCCTGTTGCTAATAAAACTTGATGATTTTATTGGGGGCAGGGGTTTAATCTAGTTTTTAACATCTGTGTTCTAGAGTATATATTGATATGCTGAGCTTAAGAGTACAGGGATGTTTTTTGTCTGTTCTAGCAGAAGGAATACCTTGGATTAGAGACAGATTTTCAAAGGCACGTACATAATTCAAGAAATACATAATGCTGCCACTTTATGTCTGCTTTTCTTTCCCTGTTTTCTCTCACCTTTCCATATATTCCTATGTATACATATTCTCACATGAAAATCATCCCGAAGGGCAAAAGACAGTGTAGGAAATGTAGCAGTCATGTATTTTTTCCTATAAAACATACTTAATACTTTCCTTTTGGTTTTGTTTTGGTTTTTTTTTCCCTTTCATCCTGAATTAGATTTGGAGAGACTCAATGTTTGCTCTCATGTAAATCTCTCAGAAAAATGTTTTGTAAGCCAAGAGAGAATAATAGGAATTTTCATGAGCATTCTCCCATAAACTAATTATATTGTTTTATTCCTCCAATGTCACTTACACTTTGTCAGATGGTTTTTTTCTCTTCCTTTAAAGCCTGTGGAGTGACAACACAGTTAAGCTCATTTGCTTTCCAAGTTGAGGCATTTGACCAGAAGTTCCAAGTTTGTAAATGTCTGTGTTTGCCACACAGTGAATAAATTAACATGTTTACAGTTCACAGGAAAACTTAGTGTTACTTAAAACTTACCCTGGAGTTTTAAGGATTAAAAATTATGCAGGAAAGGGGTAGGAACAGGAAGATACTCTGGTGTTTCCACATCTTCATAAATAAAATCTCTCTGTGTTTGTTTACAGCAAATACAGGAAGACTTGAATAAGCAGTTACTTGATAATGTAGTAAGTTTTTTGAGGCGGTCTCATTCTGGGTTCCAAGAAAAGACAACAGAATGGACTTGTCGGACGAAGTCCAGAGAAATCCCTACTGCAGCTCTTGTCTTAGGTAATATTTTAAGGTATATTTTGTTATGTACATTGCTTAAAACTGACACAAAGATCAAGGAAAATATAGTGGTGACTTCTAGCAATTACTGTGAGCAATACTGGCATCAGAAATGTTGACAGAAGAGGCTGGGCTGGGAGAAGGAAGCAGGATAAGACCTCTTTCCCCTTTTATGCATAATAGCATATGCATAGTAAGTTAACACCTTCCCTAAAGGTCTGTTTTAGGCAGCGGGTAGTGATTTAGTGGGGTTTTTTTCCTGAGGCACTGGAGATGCTTGGATTTTGTTCCTGTTTCTGCACCCAACACGCTTAGTGGTTTCTATGGCTAACCATAGAATTACACAGCTTCTGTATTTCTGATACATGTTCTTGCGGTGCATCTTTACCTGTAGGGGAGCAGTGTCATTATCTTGGAAAAGGAGCAGAAGGTTAAGAAAACAGTGGAAGCTGGTATTACTGAAGTTAGTGAAGTCTGGAATTGTTTGTTTGTTTGGGTTCTTTTCTTGCCCTCACCTTCTTCTTTCAAAGGGTTTTAACTGTAATCCTGAACCTGGTTCAAGGCAACCTGATTACATTTTCAGTGGGTCGTTTTAGGGAACCTAAAATCAGGCCTGTGCTTCAAGTTTACTGGGTGAGCACTAACAAAGCCTGGAAGGCAGTCAACTTTTGTAGGCAGTAGAAAATGAGAAGCTTCTGCTCTGTGTGAGAAGTTGTGAATTGCCTTCTGGAGGAGGTTTTGTTTTTTTTTCATGTCGTTGACTAAGGTTATTAACATTTTCCTCCTTATATAAGCCCTGTGAAGATCCAGGTCTTAGATGTATGCACTGTTGTTCTTTTAGAGAAGGTGAACTTTTGTTTTCTGGTCTGCAGGCCTTAGATGGCTTCTGAGAGTATGAGTAGCAGGGAAGATAGAAAACCAATCCTGCTCCTTGCACATTTACGCCCCTGAGAAATACTTCTTAAAAACACTCAACCAACTAAACAAAATAGGCCCTCCCCCAGACTTTGAGGGTTTTTTGCAGATTCCCTGTTCATTGTAATCACCTAGTATTATCATGTGTGTCTAATCTTGTGCTAGTTTTTCATCTTTCATCATAGACGATGCAATGCTTTTCATTCCTTCCTCGAATATATCTTCTGGGTTTTGGCAACTGTTCAGTTTATTATTAAATCACAGTGGTCGCAAATCACAGGAAAAAATGCCCTTAAAAATTTGTCTTTTTCTAGGTGTAAATGTTACAGATCATGACTTGACTTTTAGAAATCTCTCAGAAGCCCTTCAAAATAATATTACTCCTTATATAGCCTTGCTGGAAGCCAAAGATTGCCCAGGTAAATACTGCAATAGCATTGCTGCTTTTTCTGAATAATCTAACAGTAACTAGAAATTCTAGCTTTTGCACCCAAATGTAGGAATAATCATAGAATCACAGAATGGTTTGGGTTGGAATGGACCTTAAGATCATCTAGTTCCAACCCTGCTCCCATGGGCAGGAACACCTCACACTAGATGATGTCACCCAAGGCTCTGTCCAACCTGACCTTGAACACTGCAGGGATGGAGCAGCCACAGCTCTCTGTGCAACCTATTCCAGTGCGTCACCACCTTCACACTGAGAGGGATCTTGGAGACTTTCTAAAGATTTGCTCAATCCCATGTTAACAGCAGTAATGCCTGTTACTGTATTTTAAGAGGTGTCCAGTTCTGTTTAAAACAATGAAGATTGAAATACTACTTAGCTGTAGCGTAAACGTCAAGAGCACGCTGCTTAGTGCACTGCATGTTGGTGTTGTAGGTTGGCTTTTCTCTTGGTTAGTTGGATAGTGTATGTATGCATTCCATGTTTTAAATGCTTACAGTCATGTTGTTAAAGTGGGGAATGGGTAGGATAAAATTTTGTCCCACTCTCCTTGTTCCTTTTTTTATTTTTTAAGTAAAAAGACTAGAATCACTTCCAGCAGCATCCCCAGATCCATGGATTGGCTCCCTTGTTTTTTTTAGGTCACTCCAATAGCATGTGGCTAGAGTTCAGGAAAGGTGCAGGGCCAACATCTTCACCTGAATTGTTGCTATCTAGGCAAATTATAGCATAATTTTTGCCACATCAACAACATGTGTATGTGAATATTTTCAAGCTTTCTGTAGCATGAGATGTGCATTCTGGAGAGAGAGGACAAATAATCAGAAAAGTGGACAAATAATAAGGCACAACTTGGGGTAATTTTTTAGAGTATGAGTTGAATAACCACATGTCTTTACTGTGTGTCTAAAAATACGAAGGTATAAAAAATCTGATGCAGAAGCTGATGGGGCAGCTGATGAACTGCTCTGTCGATGCGGTCTCATTGGAAGATGAGGACTACGTGCAAGTTTCCCAGAATAGAATACGTTGTTCAATGAATTCTGTTGTCAACTGGTATGAGAGTGTAACAAAGGTATGTTTGGGGGTTTAATTGGGAACTAGAAGCTTAACATGCAGTACCAATTTCATGACAGATGCTTTTCTCCCAGGAGTGCTGAGATGTTTGTTTATTAAAACAACACTTTATCCAAGAACAGTCATCCAGGGGAAAGGCACCCTATTAGTGCTAATGTGCCATTCTGTCATCTGCAGCCCACACTACATTGACAAGCAGCGAGAAAGTAACTTTCAAAATGTTTTTGCATCTTTGTATTTAATAAAGCTAATGAAATTTTAAGTTTTGCCTCTGTCGTGAAGTTAGAACTGATTTTATGATGACTTCTTCACAAACAGTGTGTTTAAACAGAAGTTTATTAACAGAAGGGTACATTATCTTTCACATTACTGGATAAAGATACGAAAAATGAGCAATGTCTCATGTATGCTATGTATGGAACTCAAATCTTCTCCCTCAATCCCAACAGAATTTCACCATTTGTGTCCCACAGAGCTATTCTTGCCTTTGTTGGAACGTGGGATTTTGAGATTTGTTTATTCTTTGTAATTCATACTGTGCCAAACAGAAGGAAGAAAAATTGCAATTCTAGGCGCTAATAATAAATACAGCTGTAGCGAAAAGTCACCTCATCACTTTCAGGCATTATAATATTGTAGATGTAATTAAATCTTTTTATTTTACTGTCTTATGTTTATTAATGCGTAACAAATGGCTTTAAAGAAAACAGATTCTGAAACTCTGAGCAAAAAAAGAACTTCCTCTTCAAGACACCAGCAATCTCCTCCAGTTGTAGTTATATTCAAAGACATGGAAAGTTTCACCACAAAAGTCCTTCAAGACTTCATAGTCATCAGCAGGTAATGTGAGCTGAAGTTTAGTTCTTCCACTCCTTTACCCATTTTCTATTTGCAGCTGATTTGAAGTGTAACAATGAGGCCAGTGGAGAATTGGAATCAAATATTGATGCTGCTTCTTTGCAGCAGTGATTGTGCAAAAACCTATTTGTTAAGTTTTGGGGATAAGGTATCCTAAGGCTAATGTGGGACTCTGAAGTAGTGTGCGAAAGGGCTGGGTTGAGGTAATTGGGTAGCTGATTGAAGTCTTTACATAATATTTATTTGTACTAGTTGTTATAGAATTTGTGATTGTGAAACTAATTTTTCAGTATGTCTAGATCTTCTGTAGACTTTTACAATTATATGACTGCTGATTTAATGCTGTTTAAAGGTCACTTGCTTACTAATGGGAGCATATAAAACTTACCCAGAGAATTTTTCTGTCAGCCAGGATCTGTAATGAGTAGCTGACTACTACAGGTGCTCCTCCTGTGCTTCTGTCCTTCCTTAAACTGTCTTCCTTAATATCATCTCATGCATTCTAATCAAAACCTCATGCTATTGTCCAAAAAGAGCATCTTACATTCAGTCCCCAGGTTGAAACTACAGGTGCAGCAAACTTGTGGCTGCAGTTGTACAATGCAACTGCAGCATGCATGCCTGTTGTTACCTCTCAACAAGGCTAGGCACTTTCACTTGCTGAAAGACCCACAATAAAACCATTTTTTTACTTCAGATCTGGTAGATGGGCTCTCTAGGGAACATCTGAAGAAGTAAAATCAGAAATGCACAGTAATCTGGAAATAATTAGGGGGCAAAGCAAGGGGGAATGAGGTTTTAATAATTAAGTGTTGTGTTTTATTTTGATTTTTGTGGCAAGGATAAATAACTGAGTATGTGGGATGTAGATGAATTGCTGTACAAGTCTAACAGTCCACTATTTGCAAATACACTTTTTTTAACTGATTGTGTGTCCCTTCAGAAGAAAAGGTTTAGAGGATTCAGATGAGCTTATAACTAAATATTGTCTGGATTAAAGTAAATAGAAGATGGGTAAAATAGAAGCTTGGCAGAGTTGCATAATACTTTGAAAAAAGGCGTCTGGGTGATGGTGGAGATCGGATTTATTCTCTCCATTTCAGTCTGAAACCTGTTTAATAAAGGGTGAAGTTGGGTGAATGTGAGAGGTTCTTCTGATTGGTTCATCACAAGGTTCAGTTTCTCTCCAATATTCTTAGGTTATCAGCAGTGGACAGTAATAGATGGAGTGTATTTGCTTTATGTTTAAGTCTCTAGCAATGACTTCTGAGGAGTTCCAGAAATGAAATAATTATGGGATAACAATTAAAACACCAAGGTCAAAAAGTTGCTGTGGTGAAACCAGAAAAACAGAATAAATTGACAACTTTAGCCTAGAAGATATTTAAGATAGCAGAATTTGTATCTCCTTAACACTAATTTTTTTAAAAAGGGGAAAATTATGATTAAATAATACTGAAAACACTGTATTCTGAGTAATTTGATGTTGTTCACAAGGAATACAGCATTCAGTCCTGATTATCAGTTCTTAAAGCATATACTAAAAAGAAATCTGAAGAGGAAGATTGAATCTGATGAAGTTGGAATTCTTTAAGTCTTATAGAACATAGAACATTAGAGGTGTTTCATATTTGTTTTACATTTATTAAATGATGTAAGATCTGTACATTTTCTGGACACTGGGAGCTGTTCCGTGTCTCTTCTTTTTTCTTTATTACTTTGGGGAAAAAAAATAAATTGTAAGGTTCAGTTCTCTGAATATAACTTTGGGGGCAGACAGGAGCAGTATGATACTCTAACTGAGAAGATGCTTTTTATGCCATTTCCTGAAATTTGAATCCTAAAATATAATTTAATTTCCTTTTCTGCTTTAGGGCTTTAAATAGCTTCCATTATTTCTCATTTTACTCTACATCAAAACTCTTTTAGTTTACTGGCAACAAATCTTTTAATTTACGCATTTCTGCATCTTAGCTTAGTGCTGTAGTAGGAACATAATACACTTGTTTCATAATTTTCTATAATGTAACTATTGTGGTTTTTTTCTCCCTTTCCCCATGATCTAGTCAGCATATCCGTGAGTTACCTCTAGTACTGATTTTTGGAATCGCTACATCTCCAATGATTATCCACAGCTTACTTCCTCACTCTGTCTCCTCTCTGCTGTGCATAGAGCTTTTCCAGTCCCTTTCCTGTAAGGAGCACCTGTCTACTATAATTGACAAGGTAATTCCCTTTCTGAATAGGAGAAGTGTTTGTGTATTCAAACACAGTATACATGTGGCCTTTAAAAGTAGGTTTCAAAGAACTGAAGCTTTTGAAATGGAATCTGTTCCTGAGAGCTGTGGATTTTGGATATTTCTACTCATAGCCACAAAGTAACTTAATACTGAGAGCTTCTTTCTCACGTTGAGACACACTCACATACCTGCTTTCATCTTTCATTTGCACTGACATCTGCCCATACATACTTGGGCAATTACACTTTGACATTCCCACCTCTTCATTAAAGCAGTACTTTGATTTGAGTTTTACTTTGTTTCAGAAAAACATAGCTTTAAACATAATAAAATACAGTTCAGCCTGAATTTTGCTGCATGTCAAAAATTAGCAGTGTTTTCCAAATGATCAAGCCATGTACGATTCTTGGTACGCCACTTTGTGCAGGATTTCCAAAATCCCTGTTACAACATGCTGGAAGTAGTGGTATTCCTGGTGGTTACAGCAGCCTCTCTTCTGTTTGTAATTTTAAAAGTAAATAGAAAAATAGCATTAAGCAAAACTATCTTTGTGTTGCATATTAGCAAAAGGTATTTCCAAAAATGTGGTGAAATAATAAACTGAAAATCAATCTTTGCATGGATGTTTTAGTGGAAGTATTGTTTTTAGAGGTTGGCGGTGTATTTAGTATCTCGTTTAGTTGAATGCTAACATACACTTTTCCTTTTTGTCTCCCTTAGCTGCTTCTGACATCCCGGTTTCCCTTTAAACTGGGTGAAAAAGTTCTGCAGGTTCTCATCAACATATTCTTGTACCATGATTTTTCTGTCTGGAATTTTATCAAAGGATTTCAGGTAGGCAATGGTAACAAGAACTTATTGGCTTATATAGGTCTTCATATCTAGATGTATTTCTGCGTCTAAGACTCCTTGTGGATCATGCACAAGAGTTTTCCAAAGAATTTTTAGCCCCTGTAATCTGTTCTAATGCAGGATTGTGAAATAGTTTCTTTCTTGCCTGGTTCCATGTGTGAACCTGTTAGTAAAACATGCGCTTTTAGTGTCTTATACCTTTATAGTGTTTCAGATTGTTCGATGTCCAAGATTCAATGATTACACGTGGCCAAGAGAAATATCCTGGCTCTAGTACTTTTTCCTGCAGACAGACCTGCCTGGCCTTTGATAGGTTTCAACTCTTCTTGTTCGAAAGAGTCACCAGGTTTTAATGAGCCCATGTTGGCCTTATACAAAAATACAAGTCCTGTCTCTGACAGGATATGTCCGTAGCTTTGTGCCTTAAAAGTATTCATGATGAAGCAATTTGGATGAGATTTTCTAAGTGCTAGGTACAAGAAATTGCCATCATCTTGTTATGTCTAGCAGTGATGTTAACTTTTCTGACAGGAAGTGTCTTTCCTCTTTGACAGCTCTTATGTTTTAGAAGTTTTTAGTGAGGTAGTCTGATTGGGGTTTTGTTTTGTTTTTAAGAATAGATGTGTGGAGTATATACTACTATCCTGCAAGGCCCTGGTGCTACCTTTAGTGCAGCTGAAATCAGTGATAAAGTGTGTTTGTGTGTATTCACAGTAAGAGCTTAGCAGTATATTTGAAATGGTACATGAAAGAGAAATTGAAATAAGGGCATGCAATAAGTTTGCTTCTGTACAGTAGTTGCTTTTCATATCTCTAAATATACTCTTTGTTATTTGTGAGCATTGGAGCTGAATATATAACCTAAAGAATGCAGTAATTCACAGAAGTGAATAGAAAATATTTGACAAGCAATAGTTATCATCATGTAAGAGGAGGGAAAGATGAGGTACTGAAAATGAATAGTGCATACAGCAAAAAAGGTAATTATGTGACTGTATTTAAAAGTGAATGATGTGTCCTGTAGTGACTTAGGGAATATTTATGAACTGTAATGAATTCTTTTTTAAAGGAATACCATTACTACCATTGTAGTATATGCACTGTAGTAATAAGAAAGCATTAAAAGGTAGATATAGCAGTGAGGATGAATTTTATTAACTTCACTGTTTCTTGCTTTGTTTTTCAGCTTTGTATTGTTGAACATTTCTATTCCCAGCCTCTTAGTGTACTGTGTTGCCAACTGGCAGATGCTAAGGAGAGAGTAAATTCTTTATCACACGATCAGTGTGAAAACATTCGAAGACTGCCCTCTTTTAGAAGGTAAAAGACTAAATAAATTTTGGACAATTTGCATTTAGTCAGCTTTTTAAAAAATGAAAGGAATATGTAAATGTAGCTCCCTGAGAAGTGTAGATCATTTATGCATATATTTCTATAGCAAAGGTAAATCGATCAAAAAGAGGACAGTTCTAAATATTCTCATGAAGCCTTAATCTTCTGGTCTAGAGAGTTCAGCTTCTGTGATGTGTAATCATTTGAACTACTCCCACCCCCTCACCCTGTTCTTAATGCAGAAACAAGCTATTATGACAAATAACCATAAATCACTTTTGAATTTGTTAAGCTGACTTGGAGCATGATCTCTAGGGTTTCGGAGTGGCCTTTCAACTTGCTGGATTTGACTGTCCCTTTTTGAATCTTTCCAAAGATATCCTTATAGCAGCATAAACTTTTTGAAATTATTAACCCTGTAACCTTTAATCATACTTTTCATGATGTTTTTTATGTTCTTGTTTTTTTCTTGCCATCAGATATGTAGAAAGGCAAGAAGCAGAGAAACAGATTGGACTGCTCACAGCAGACAGCTTCTTAAAGGTAAAGTTTCAAGAATGTCTTTGGAAAGCACAAATAACTTTCCCAATATATTAGTCTGTGGAGCGTAATAAAATACAGGACTAAGATGTATAGTTCTGTATAACTTCTTTTGTACAGTACATACTGTGCTTCATGTCCAGTAACAGAGAATTGGGATTGGCAGGTCAGAATTCCAAATCTCTAGGGCTGCCACGTATACTGTTATACAGAACTGCACAACTTTTCTTACATCAACTTTTAGCTATGTCTAGAAATATAACTGCTTAAAAAGATGATTACATGGTTTATTTATGGCCTGGTCTTTTAATGCTTACTCAGATTGACTTTCTTGGAAAGTCAGTGAAGTGTTTGAAGAATGAGTAGTAATCTTGGAGGTTATTTCGTAAGCTCTTAATCCTCTATACCCTCTGTGTAGTTTCTGATTGATCTCAGTAGGGCAGTCTGGGTCCTGAGGCACACATTCACAGTAGATGTCATACAGGATTAAAACTTTAATTTATGTTACAGGTTTATCTGAAGGTTTGTCAAGTGATTAATGTCAGGTTACTGCTATTGTGAGCCCTTCCGGAGTTCACCAACAAAGCTCTGTTAGTTATTTTCACCAACTGAACCCCTCCCAGAAGCATTGCTCAGGGTAAAGGGTTTCTCCTAACTCTTCATCTCAAGTATAGCTAACCTGTCAGGCAAATAGTATTACCAGAGATAAAGCAATTCATTTATCCTAGCAGAGCTTCCTGGTCCAAAAGGACTTTTCAAGTATGAAGAACAACTGTAATGGCTGGAAGAGAGGTTGGTAGCACACAAGTTTGCAAGTGCAGTACAATTGTAGTTGTCAAGGCTAGACATGATTTAGACATGATTTTATGATCCATAGTCTTCAGTGGCAAAAATAGATTAAGCTACAGCTGTTCCCTTGCTGTTTATTCACACCTGAGCAAATATGCCAGCACAATTCCTCATGTGGCTATGCAATTAATGTCATCAGAGAAACAACCCAATTGAAGTAACCTGACAAAAAAAAAAAGACAAGACATAAGAATGTTTTTGCTGGGTTGTTTCTGCAGAATATTTCACTTCTGTTGAAATGACAGGAGGAGGGGAGGAGTGGGAATGAGCAGCTGAGACTCTGTTTCTTTGTTTCAAGTTTAAAGACTGTGTAATGTGCTGCTACTTTGAAAGTTTAATACTTACCAGCTTAAACTTTATATGTATTAAACTTTATATGTTTAATAATATGCCCCTTATATAACAAGCCTCACCCTGTGAGTTTGGGAAAGAAGCCAGAATTTTTGTGCTTAAGTGTATATGATGCTTCTGACAAATTTTAATTGAAGACACTTGTTCTAATCTCTGCAGCAGGGTTAGGACTATCACTGTACTGCCAAGCTGGCAGTGTAGTCTGCTTGGGGACAAAAGGCCCTACTGCTGCATTAATGAGGTGCTGGTTATTCTATATATTGTACTAATCTACGGTATAATTCTGAACTTTGGAAATGCTTTCAAAGTCACTATGGTGACTTTTTGTGTTCAGGACCAGGTGAACTTGCCTTTCAAGCTTACCACCTAAACCTCCAATACTCTTTGTCAGCTGCAGTTTATATTCCACATTGTTGCCACTTTTTTTTTCATAACTATGGGTAGAGTTCCACCTATTTAAAATAATCAGTTTAGAAAGCAATTGTACATCCTGATTACTTACAACTCCGAAACTTTTCATGGCAAATTTAATTTGAAATTATGTAAATGTGGCAATCTATATTTATGGAAATAATATTGCATAGTCTTCTAATAATGTTTTCAAACTTGATCTGGGAAATGAGATGAGGAAATATAGCTGCTCTAATAGATGCTCTAATGCTCTGGGTTTGGGGGAATGAGATTGATGTAGCAGCATTAAAAAGAACTTGTTTTCTTTTCTCAGCTTTTTTTGTGGTGGGCATATTTTTGTTTAATGATCCTGATTGGAATTAATATATAAACTTGTGTCTCCCCTAAGATCTTGGAAGTTACTTAAACAGTTGTTATGTCAGTGACACTTAAATTTTAATAGATAAAACTCTGTGGGGAGAAATGTCTTTAATGTTTTTAATCATCTCAAACTTATTGTAACATCAGAAAGCTCTGTGCAGCACTGTCTGTTACTTTCAGTCTTTGAAGTATGATACTTAATCTTCCCACATGTTAGTACTTCCTTATATTATCTGCAGGTAAGGTTTGTTTTTTTTAATGTTTGATACTCTTTGTTTCAGTTTAACTCTAGAGAACTTCAGTGGCTTGTTTTATTTTTCCCTTTCCATTTGGGATAGTTTTCTGAGAGTTTCTTTGAGCAAAATGGCAATAAAATATGTAGAGAATCCTGCTGGGTTTTCCTCTTTATCTTCAAAGATAAAAGGAAAAAACAAATTCTGTGGGTTTTTTTCCTCTTTTATCTGATTAAAGACAGGTGAGAGAAGATCTTCTGATTCACAAACTGAAATGGAATGAGCCCAAAGTACTTTCATACAGCTACCAGAAATTTTCAGAAGTGTTACATATGCTTCTATGGGAGGCTGGTGATAATGAGATGCCATCCAGTAAATTCAGTAGCAACAGTTTGAATGCATGATTTATTTTTCCTTGCAGTTCTTTATGAATAAGTGGAAGTCAAATAAAGAGCACATAGGAACAGCAACTGCATATTTATTTTCTGTGAACTGGTCTTTTTACATATATCTAACTAATAAAAACAGCAGCCACCTGCAATATAAGAAATAAAATTTTAAAGGCATCTGTAGTATAAAAATGCAAATGATAAGGATTTGAGTAGAAGTAGCTATATATTTTCTCATTGCCTGCTAAAGGTATAGTGTACAGTCTCCTTTCTGCTAGATGACATACCAAATCTAAAGTGAAATGCAGTTGAAAACAGTAAAATAATAATGCTAATCAATGAAAAATCTCCAGTGAGATGGAGGAAGAAAGTGAAGTTTAACAACATGCAATGTGATTGCAGTGAACTGTTGAAATACAGCTTTTTTGCATAGTGGTCTTTATTTAACGGTGGTGATTTAAATCATAACACACCACAGTGTCAAAACTTCAGAGTCATTTTTAGTACTTCATGAGAGTTTTAAATAAGTGGATGTCGGAATGACTTATAAAGCAATTATTTTGTCGCTGTAGGAAACAACACAGAAGTTGCTGGAGGACTTGCATGTTTACCATGAAAATTATGTTTCAGTTCTGAGATGTCTTCATGTTTTCACATGTTCTCTTCCAAAGTATCCTTTGGGCAAGCAGGTGATGTACTGTTATTCCATTTCAGTGAAATATGTTTTGTTTGTTTGTTTCAAAGTATGGCATCTGAATTTTTTCTTTTTCCTTGTTTACTATTCTGCTGCTTTGCTCCCTGCTTAAAATGGAAACAGATGCTTTCTTGCTATGGGCAGAGGGCAACAGCATGTGATGTCTTTAGTGGCGTGGATGATACCTTGTCAATCAAAAGGAAGAAGTTTCTAGGAAGAGTCAGATGTGCAGATCAGCAATAGAATGCACACCTGTACTTTCCCACATCTAGCATTATCTGTATACACTGCAGACAGTGTACACTCTTCTGCCACCAAAATCAGTTGGAGAGACTGGTTTTAGCAACTTTCTGTTCAGAATAAAATGATAGTAAGGGAACAGTGATAATGGCTATTAATAGCCATATTGCTCTAATGTCATTAAATCCATCTTCTTGTGCTAAGCAATTTCTTCCTCCACTAGTAGAGCAATATATTCTGTGCATGTGCACTTGTTTGTCTGTTCTCAATGTATTACACACTGTTATTAGAATCTGTTCCTAACTACAAAATCAGCATGAACTGTCCTAGTATTTGAAAATAAAGATATGTTTTAGCTGTGGCATTTGATTGGCGTTCCTCTCTGTTCTCTACAGTTATCTTAATCTGAATGTTAGATGTTTGAAGCCTGGTGCATAGCAACACATAGATTCCAAGATACTAAATGCTTTCATTTGTTTTGCATTCTTTCTGCATCTTTGGAAAACAAGCTCCAAGGGAATTACATATTGCTTTGACAAGTTTCTTGTAAGTGTTCTGCATTACTTTGTTTGTAAAACACTTTACCTTTTCTTCACCTTCTGCAGATCAGAGAGCTGCACTGTGCATGTTTGGAAAACCAAGTGTGGGAGACAGAAGATTATGAGTCATCTCTTCAGTTAGCAAGGTGATTTGTTTTTTTTTTTCCATTTTGTTTCAATACCATTGTGCACATGGAGAATATCAGTCATCAGTTATTCTGGAACTTAAAGCTGAGGATATTACCTGTTCGCAGCTACTTGTGGGATTGTTTGCAAGTATAATTGTCTGCTCTTCTCATTTTGTCTTTCAACTGTTTGCCATGAAACTCAACAAGGTTCTAGTATCATTTCTGACCTGAGTAATTATGCTGAAACCACTGAGATTACTGTGTGTGAATAAGAACATCAGTTGGGTTTTCTTTTACAGTATGATTGTGTTACGTATTATCATTTATTACTATTACTTTTAGATGGCCTAAATTTTAATCTGTTGTGAAAATTAGAATCTCTTCCAAATTAATAGCTGAGGCCTTTCTTATCTCTTTAATTTACTGCTTTCTCCCTGCTTCCTTTGTCTGACAACTTGTACAGGGACTGAGTTAATTTTTTGTGTTATTGTAAGCTTAGGACTTTAGGAGGGCCTACATTTGGGTTGTCTGACTGTCAGTGCTGAAAATGGAAAAGTCATCTAAGCCATTTTTCGTAATAGAAAATCATTCCATCGCAATGCTGCAGCTACAGACTTTTAAATGTGCTTTATTATGGCAAGTGGCTGTTTGCTGTAATACATCAGTTCTGATGCAACACCGTTACCATAACTGCCTCTTCCAGAGCCTCCAAGCCTCTGAGGTTTTTTGTGTCTGACAGTAAGGTTGCATAGAACTTCATACGGGAGCACCTCCCTTGTGAAGACAGGCTGAGAAAGTTGGGGCTGTTCAGCCTGGAGAAGAGAAGGCTGCGTGGAGACCTCATAGCAGCCTTCCAATGTCGGAAGGTGGCCTACAAGGATGCTGGGGAGGGACTCTTCATTAGGGACTCTAGTGGTAGGACAAGGGGTAATGGCTTCAAACTTAAACGGGGGACTTCAGGTTAGATCTAAGGAAGAAGTTCTTCACAGTGAGGGTGGTGAGGCACTGGAATAGGTTGCTCAAGGAAGTTGTGAATGCTCCAACCCTGGCAGTGTTCAAGGCCAGGCTGGACAGAGCCTTGGGTGACATAGTTTAGTGTGTGGTGTCCCTGCTCATGGCAGGGGGATTGGAACTAGATGATGTTAAGGTCCTTTCCAACCCAAACTATTCTATGATTCTATGATAGAAAAGCCATTTCAGTGGTGGGTGGAGGAAAACTTTCTGGGCTCATATACACAAGGAAACATACTCTTATACATTGCCACTGCACTATACTCTTTGCCTTCATCCCTTTGAAAGGATTACATTCGTGATGTGTGATTTCTGCATTATTTCCTCCTTAATCCTTTTCTGACTCACTGAATATTGACAGCACTCAATCATGTATCAACCCTTGCCCACCAGTGTGTCATTTTGTTTTCCTGTACAGTCTGTTCTGTAATCTCTAGTAACTCCTTGCCATTTTTTCCTCTCCTTTCTCTCCTCCTATGTTTAGTTTGCTTTCTTGCACTTTTAATTCATTTGTCTCTTCTCCTATCTCAAAGTTGATGGTGCCATCAGATTCTGGCTTGCTCCCCCTTTATCCTTAGCTGTTTAATTCACTTTCTTTTTAAATTCCAGGTACTCAGTCATTTTTTTAACAAAACTACTTCAACCCAATTCCTTAAAATATTTGGGATTCTAGCTGTGATTATTATTTTTTGCTCTTTCAGCTTTAACTCTGTTTTCCATTTTACACATACTTGTCTCTGCTTTTTCTGCATAGAATCTTGCTGCTGTCTTTTAGAAGAAAATGATAAAATGTGATCTTTCCCCTTCTACTCACAATCTTTTTTCTCTCCTTTGCTCAGGTGTGGAAGTTAGTCACTGTTCCTTAATATCTCTGCCTTCTGAGGGGCCACATCACCTGTTCGTACTCTTACGGTTGCATTTTCTCATCCCTTATTCTTCTTGTCAGTGTTTTTTTGGAGTCCATCTTTTTTTCCCTTGTATTTAGAAAGTAAAAAACAGAGAAGCTTTTGATCAGCTTATTTCTCTGTTTCTAACAAAGTGTCTCTTTCACCTTCCATTATGTTTGAATGTGAGGTTTTCAGTTGTTGCACTGAGTTCCTTTTGTGGTTGCTTGGTTGGTTAGTTGTTTTTAGTCTTCAGCCTTTCCTTGGACTGGCTTTTATCCCTTCTGCTGAAAGTGCTCTCTCCAAAGATGGTGTTTCGGGTTATCTAACTTTAGCAATCTAGACAATAGTTACTCTACTTTACTCCAGTTGTCTAGAGTCTTATATAATAGGGAGACAGAGAGCATGTGTGAGCTGTAGTTCACATTGGATTAATCCAATCAGATAAGATTAGGAGATGCTGGAGAGTGTCTACCCTGACTGGTTATGGGGAGCTAACTGGCTGGGACATCTGGTCAAGCTTTTAGGTGGCAAAACTTTTGAGGACTGTCTGAACTCTTGTCTGCTGTCTAGGTACTGTACTCTGCTCTTCTAGACACTGCTGACTGCTTTTGTGTGTCAGTCATCAAGGCTGTTCATCACGCACTGCTTATCACAGTCCCGCCCTTCTGTGACTGTTGTCATTTTGTTGTTGACCAATCTCTGTTACCACTTCCTCAGCTGATTCCTCACTTCAGCATTCAGAAGGAGTTTATAGAAGATAGGACTTCATCCTGTCTTCCTTTCTTTCTTAACTTGCCTCTGAATAATCAGACACAGATTTATTTACTGTCTTTGGATGATCTGAGATGTTCCTTTCTGCTTTAAGCCTGTCTCCTAACCGAATTAAAATCTTAACCCCACTCTCTGATACCTGTCACACCTTTCAGTAATCTCAAAACCAAAAGGGTTAAAAGGATCCTTTCCTATTTCTGATAGGTGATAACCATCTTCTTGCTTGCTCTTTGGGCCCTGTAATCCCATTGTTGTGGTAAATATTTTTTTCTGGAACTTTCAGCTTCTTTTTGTATAATGTTACTAAAATAAATTGTTCTTTCATAGATCTCCAAATCTGGTAATCCTCTCTCCATCTTATGTGTTTAATTATTGCAGTGTTTTGTCTCGCCTGGAAGTATGTTATCTTGTTTACCCATTATTTTCTACAAGACAGTTTCAAAATGTTTTCTAGCCTTTTGTGTGCTCAAGGTCACCCCTTCTGTTGTTAATTCCTGATGCTTTTCTGTACAAAACAAGTATATCCAAAGGCAACGCCAGACTTGCAAAAATCCATAACCCTGAATCGGATAAACTGAAATTTCAAATTCTAGCATTTGCAAGCATTTAGCATCAACTGCCAGTTAGAAACTAGAGATCAATTTGCAATTGCTCTTCCAGAATTCCATACAGCTTTCCCAGCCTCTTCTAAATTCTTCCTTAAATCTCTCTTAGTCAGTGTTTAGGTGGCTGGTATGGAGATGCACTCCCTGACACACTGATCACCATCATTTCATTCTTTTGTCATGCTCCCTTTTTTCTGTAGCTGTGGTTTTTGTGTGTTCTAAACTAAAATCCTCACACTATTAGCAGCTTTGCTTTCAATAAGACAAAGCAAAACCACAAGAATAAGCTGGGAAGGGCTCCTGGTGACAGTGGATATTACAGATGTGTGATTGTTCAGAACCAGAGCGTTTAGCAATGGGAGCCTCTCACACTGCATGAAGAAAGTTCCATGCCTGTGTAATGGTGCTAGCTTGATGCAATGACTGCAATTCTGGATTTCATTTATGGGTGTTTGCAAGGACTTGCTTTGGTATCTTTTAAACGAAGATTCTGAGACTGAGCAGTGCTTGGTGACATTTATAAAATGCCCTAATACATAATTAAAAATAAGTAAATGGCTGGATGTTGGGCTAGATAATCTCAAGGGGTCACTTCCAACCTCAGTGATTCTAGTGGTAGTTAGGATTTAGGTTTATAGTGACCAAATACAGAAAACAGCACTTAAGGTTTTGCTGGCGAATCATTCTGAACACAGAATAATGGATTTTGTGGCTGTGGGGACACATACTAATCTGATTTTTTTTACCATTTCATGAACCGTTCTTGGGACTGATTTACAAAGCCCACCATACTTCTTTTTAATCAGAGTCACAGTTTCAAACATTGTAACTCTGTATCCAGAAAGTGGTTTTAGGTAGAATATCAGGAAAGCTTTCCTTGTTAGTTCTGCAGGAAAATGTGATGGACATCTGTCTCAGTTACTGTGTTTCCTTCTGTGGATGACAGCAAGGAAAGAAATTACTGCAAGACTGAATGCTTGAAATCTTGAAAGTTTTCTCTTTTAAAAGGAGTTTTTCCAATTATTTTTTAACATTTTTCCAACTAAGACCATTGAAAGCTGTTTCATCACTCTGTGTTTCAACTTCAGCCAACTATTGTGTCTTTTAGGATGCTGAATAAGTCTGATTTGGAAACAATGCTTCAACAATGTGTGGAGATACTTGTGTCATCTTCTGGAAAAGAGTTTGATAAGGCAGTAGGGAAGCTGAAGGAGTTCTTGACCCAGTTTCAGAAACTAGAAGGTGGGTGTGTATCATCAAACATTCCATTGCAGTTAATAGGAAAGATGGTTTATAATCTGACCAATAGGTATAATTTTCCCTGGTGATATCCTGTCATTGTATCAAACCATCAGATTTTTCAGGATTGTTTCTTTAAATACATGCACAAAATCAGGAAGTGTTGAGATTCTTTATTGGTATGTGGTTTGTGCTTTTTATAATGTGGAAAAGTGATGTGAGATAAGAAATTGGACAGATCAGCAAACATTACTCACTAAATCTGTCATTCGTATACTTTGAGCATTTTACCAGATGTTGCAATTGTTTAAAGCATTTAACAAATAAAACCAGATATTGAGAGATATATAGGAGCAGACTTCCTTGTGACACAGTAATTAATCCAAATATGTATAAAGTTCTTTCACCTGCATGTTCAGTTAAATTCATGTAAGAGCTAGGACACCAAGTGCCAGGGCACAGCCCAAGTTGTCAGGGCTCTGCTGACAGAGCCATGTTCATGGTATCTGAAAGTTTAGTAAGGCAAATGAGCAGCAGCCTTCTGTTTTTCAGAGGCAGATTAGTGCCATATTGCTTCTGAAACAGGAATATGACATATTCCAGCATTCTTCTGGAACAGGAATTTCATTGCCTCCCCCGAACTACAGTAGTGCTCCCCTATGATTCCCTTTTAAAAATGAAGTGGTTATTATCTGTTATGCTTTATGCCTATTAAATTAAGTTCATTATCGGGGTGGTTGCTACCCAGCATTTGGACAAGTAGACAATAAGCCCCACCAAATGCAGTATAATACTAATTGAAGTAGTCATGTAATGCTTGGGGGTTAACTGAGGCTTGTCTAGAAAAACTGGCTTTTGCATGTACCATGTATTTTTGAATAGATGTAGTAACAGCAGGGCTGTGGTACAAGAAATAGGTGATCGCTTTGAAAAAGCTGTGTATGTCACTGAAGACAGCAGCACTGAAGGATCTGAACCATAATGGAAAACCTAAAGGTTGATCTAGTTTAGAAAAAAAGAGTTGAAGCAACAGGCTTTTAAGTTAAGTAGCTTGACTTTCACTTTGAGGTAATAAATAAAAGAGAACAACTCTGGGAATTCAGGGACATGCAGAACTATAGAAGAAAAAGGCAGTATTCATTTTCATGTGGGATTTGAAGATATTTTTAAAGTGGAGATGATCTAATGAATCCATGAAGGATCTTAGTTTGTTTTCAAAGTGGACTTCAGCTATAATGAAAAAGTGAGAAGGGGAAGTTAGGATAAACTCTACATGAATAGGTTGCTGAGTTAGGTGACTCCTTCTAGTATGTTTCTGTGACTGTGTTGATCTTTAGTGGGAGTTTTCAGCAGTCTGCCAAAAATGTTATGTACCCGCATCTCCCACAGAGCTTGTGGACTGAAAAGATAGTCCAAAATTCTTTATTTTTTATTGTTAACAACAACAAAGTCCATCTTCCCAACTGCCTCATGAACTGGAAAAAATGAAAACATGAAGCTTGAGGAAACTTCATTTTGTTTCCTCAAGCTCCTGTGCTTAGTCTATTTTGAGCTGAAGAATTTGATAAAAAATATCTTAAAATGTATTGGTGCAGTATTGGAGAGAGGAAGTTCTGTTTTGGAGTCTTCAACACAAATGCAAGTGTCCACAGGGTGCTGGAAAATACCAACTCATTTTCTGTAGGTCACCAGAAAGCTTTTATAGATCATCATTGTCACAGCTGACTGGAGCTCTACCTGTGATCTGTAGGTGGAATCTCCATGTTATTACCATCTTCATAAAGTAAGGCGAGAAATCTAGTTGCCTTTTGTTTTGATTCTGATTATTGATTGTGATTCAGGAGGTTTTGCTTCTTTGTTTTTACCTAAAAATTACTAATTATTGGTGCAGTTGATCAACAAACTACATGGCTATGAAAACAAAGTTTTGTTGTAAATTAAGATGAGAATAATGCTGAACAGTGAAATAACTTAGCAAGCTAGGTTTGCTGCTCTGGTTGCAGTTTCTGGCTTAAGGATGGAGAACTCATTTCTTACATTGTGTTTTTTGTGCATGAGAAGGGATATATACGCAGTAATTGGCTTTTTGAGCAGTCCTAAAGCATCAGTGGTATCTAGTACTAATCTGTCCAATTTACAGATACTAAGAGTATGACCCTAGGATGACATAAGCGGAATTCAAGTGCTGTGCAAGGCTTGTGCTGGATCTTTGCTCAGGGCTGAATTGCTTCAGTTACTTAATTACCATTGGTGAAGCTGCACTGCAGAGTCCGTGTTTAACCATCTGTTACAAGGTGCAAGACTCAAAAGCTGCCTGTGTTTGGGTCTGTGATAGCTGAACACTTCTCAGGTTGCTTCTAGGGGCAAGGGGGCTGTATAGGTAGTCAGGAAAAGTTTACCCCACATATCAAACATTAGTTTTGTTCTAGTAGCAGAAGCTTTCCAAGAACAAGATGTGTCCGTATCGTCACAAAAGGAGCTCCAGAAGAAGACAGACCTTTATCATCTTCAGAAGGTTAGGCCTGTGTAGGCTTTACTGACTAGTTCCTTAATTGGGTCTTTTAAGATGTACTTGTCCATGGTTAGTTCTTCCCAGCTTGCTGGAGCTCTGAGTAAAGGTGGTGTATAAGTAACTCTTCTTAAAAATGAATGAATAAGTACCAACTGTGTATGTCAGGCCCACCTGGCACAAAGACAATTATAGAAAATATCTGTCATAAACTAGGATTTTAAAATGCAAATTAGGGGGTTTCTTCTTATTTAACTTGTAAGTGACACATTCTGCCTAACACATATTTCTTTGAGTTTCCCAAACTCCTACCACTTTGAGAACTGAATACACTGGCCTAAATAAAAATAACTGCACGATCACACTTTCAGACATCACCAGTGAAGACATGCCAGCAAAGATTAATTATACATGTTAAGCATATAGATTGTGTTCTCCAGAGAATAACTACCTCCCATGTAGTTTTATGCACCACTCTTTTTTTAAAGACCTTGTTGGAGTTGAAGGATTCAAGGCGATCTAAGAAACTGACAAAGTTTGAAATGCTTCGTTTTGAAGTTGTTGACTATATAGACAGTCTTGTAAGGTGAGCCTTCCTGTTTTATGTTCCCATATTAGTTTGCACCATAACTTGTGACAGAAACCTTGCTAACATGTTAATCTTGTCAAAACTGTGGTCCGGTCTCTGCAGCATGGAGCGCATCTTTTTTCCTTCCTCTTCTTTCTTTGTTGAGGGTTCTAAAAATAGCAATTAAAAAAACCTATGTAATCTCTTTTCCATAGATCAGTAGAAGTAATTGGCTACAGAAGAAAGTTGAGGGAGGACTGGGTATATGTGGCAAAGTAGAGTTGAGAGCTTTTACCCTAATCTTTGCTGATCTGTTCTACTTAAGAAATTAGAGATGTCAAGTGTGATATCCTGTGCATTTTGGGAACTGTTTTGGTGAGCAAGGCAAAGCAGAGAGGGGTTTGGAGGCAGCTCTGTAGCAGAAAATGTGAAAGGCTTGGCAAGGGGGAAGAGATGAAGGCACTTGTTAATTATAGAGCC